TTATTTAAGGAATAAAAGACGAAATTCCGTGTTTGATACTCTGATCAAAACACGCGGGATGTAGGGAGAGCACGAGAGAAGCGTAGGAAACCACGACGCGTAGCGGAGTGGTTTCCAGCTTTTCGAGTGCTCTCCCTACATCCCAAGTGTTTTGATCAGAGTATCAAACACGGAATTTCGTCTTTTATTTCTTTTCTAAAATTAAAAGATTACGAAAATTGTAAAGAATTCTGACTTTTGATACGATATAAAACGATGAATTCTCCTTACATTGCATTTGTCTGCAGCTTCTGTAGCTTCTAGACCTTCTAAAAAACGTTTGATAGCTCTTCTTCTGGGATATCATCCCAGAGGACATCATAAATAGGCATTTATTCGTTCATTGTACTTGAAAATGAATGATAACAACAACAAATGCAAACGGCGGGAAAAAAGAAATTTTTGACGCGCGCGAGCGTGTTTTGATACTGTAATCAAACATGGTTTTTGACCAATCACAGCGCGCGTAGTATCCTAAATATTTTAGAAAATGAATTAATAAATGAAATTGAATGAATGAGTGATTGCCAATAAACCATTTCTGAAATACATGTACCAGAATAATGCATTGTGATTCAGATTCTGTACAACATCTTTTGTTTCCCTGGCCAAACATGGTATTGTTTGTACTGAAGACAGACCACAATTCTTTCAATTCTTTCAATTCAAATGATTTCAGATTTCAAAAAAGGTCTATGGACAAAATATTATGTAATTTATGCAATGAACATTTTTTTAAAACAATAGTATTAACTGTTAAAAAAAGAAAATAATAAAAAGTTATTGTTTATTAAGGGAATCCATAATAAGCTGATAGACTGTATTATTTAATTTTTGATTTCAGGTATTTAAGGATTTGGGCGTGGATGTTATCAAGGCTGCATTTGAAGGCTACAATGCGTGCATTTTTGCATATGGTCAGACTGGGGCTGGGAAATCCTACAGCATGATGGGAATGCAGGTAAAATATGTTGCATCAAACAACAGATCAATCACACAATTGCATAATCACACAATCTCAAAATCATATAATCAATGAATCAAACAAGCAATGAATGAATGAATGAATGAATCAATCAATCTTGAATCAATCAATCACACAATCAAATCAAATAAAAAAAAATCGCTCAAGCAAGTAATCAGACAATCAATGAATCAATTGCCCAAATTCAAAAAGGGACTGGTGACTAGTCAGGGCAAGAAAGAGCATACTAAAAATAGTATAGTTGCTGAGTTTGAGTGTATTCAGATTAATATTTACAGAGTTACAAGCCTTTAAAACTCGAAAAAATTACAAAGAATGTATGGAGCACTTGAGCAGCGTCCCCAAAAACCATACATTCTCTCTTATTTTTACAAATTTGAAAAAATTCCTACTCGGC